GTACTAATATGGTAATTTGGAACTCAAATACTGATATTGCACAAAACCAAATTACATCTAACCACTGAATTACGAGACAGATGAACTGTTATATAAATTATAAATGCCAGAAAAAATTACAATTTGGTCATGGAGGGGTTTAGTGAGGACGGAATTTATTACTTCTCAGTCACACCAACTAAATATTTTTCAATAATCTCTCGCGAAATTCACCTGTAAGCCTCTCATAGAAACATGATGATGGTGTAAATATCACATTGATATGGGACGGAAGATACATCCCAATATTAGAAATGAACATTATCATTCTATACATATTAAAACAGTATGCAGAGAAATACAAATGTCATAATATACAAAGCTCATCACATTAGGCCAAAAAAAAAATTGTTTTGTTGCCCTCAGTGGCCGACCAAAAAATATGAAATATCGGGTCGAGTTTTTTTTTTAATAGGCTCAAATATTAAAAACTCACCATTTTAAGCAGTAAAAAAGTGTTTTCTTCTAAAAATTAACGATCCCGGACCATTGTTTGATCCAAAGAGTGGCGACTTTGAACCTCTGGTTGATCGGTATTTCTTTGACATGTTCCGAATACTATGAAGTCCATATACCTTGGCTATTTATGATACTCTTAGTTTTCAAAAATTTAAAAAAAAAAAAAATCCGACCGACCGACCGACCTAATTTTTCGACTTGAGGGCAACATAATTTTTTTTTTTTGGCCTTATTAAGCTTTGAAGCTTTTTTTGAATCTCATGTGATGTCTTGAAACTACTGCAACACTATGACTTTAGTTTGTCATGTTTTAACACTTAATTTCAAGCATAAGCTGAAAATGTAAAGATGTAATTGCTAATTTCCAACTTCTGAAAAAATCTTGACTGTCGGTGTGTTAGGAAATATCGGTATATTTTTCTGTTATAATGTTATTTCTACAATTTTTAATTACTTCTTTTTGTATTTCTGACTTCTAAGGTCATGGAAAATGAGTTCCTGAGCTGAAAATTTTTTTAAGTAAATTCAAAGAAGGTGGACTGCATGCTACCAGTATTTCATTTCAGGTTTTCAAGCATTTTAAAACTTTTTTCAATTCTATATTTTTGAAAATTTACTGTGAAAGAAAAAGCAACCCAACCATCAGTATTGTTAACAAAACAGACGTCTATATTGCAATACTGAGAATCGGGTTGCTTTTCCCTTCACAGTAAAAATTATTTTTGATAAAACATTCAGAAAAATCAATCTCTGTTGTCCAGGCGATAGACAGCATACATATTTACATTCTCTGCATAAAAAAACATTTTTCAGTTCTTCTCAAGACTCTAAAAATGTTTAAAAAAAAAATAAATACATTTTAAGACTTTTTTTCACCATAAGAACCCTGCATTTACAATTGATCTTGTTTGAATACTAATATACCTGGGTAAATAAATTTTAAACAAATAATGGAATTAAAAAAAATGTCAGAAAGTGCAGCAATATAATATTTTTGTAACTATATACTTTGTAGTTGTAGCTGTTCATTTACCGGGTAACTCCCATTGTTATTATTAATGAATGAACCTACATTAGAACGTCGGTAGTATATAATCTGTGATATGTTCATTTGCTGAAATGGTCCATTATATTAACTCATAACTATGACAACGCTTATTTTGAATACACATCACTAAGAAGGGTAATAATGTCATATTGAATTACCATAAATTAGCATATGACAGTTACAGTTATGGGAGATTACACTTTGGTTTAACAATTATAGTTGGTCATGTGATAAAAAAAAAGCTATCACCTGATATTTTATAGGTAGAGCTGGTAACGTCATTATCAACAGCTCACTTTTAGTACATAGATAATAAAGCCTATGATGTCATATGCAGCTGAAGTCAGGTGGTAATAACGAAAATGCAATTAATAAGTCACTATAATGTGGCGCCATCTTGAATCTGGCTAAAATCTAAACAAACTGCAAGTGAGTTTTTCAGATTAATACAAAGCAGAGAAAAAATACCAAACTTTCACAGCCAAAGGATTTGTCATGATAACTTTAACACATCCAGAATGAAATTTGACATCCCTTGTTTACAAACATCTCATTACGCACTGAACCTTAAAACACTTTCCTGGGATATTTGAAAACAAAATGTCATTAATGACCTAATAATTGAATATTAATTGCAGTAATGTTACTATGACTTGTATGCCAGCTGA